GAAATAATGAGATAAACTTATATAGTTTCCAAAATCCCATAATAATGTTACTTCTTTTCAAGGGATTGTTGTTACTATAAATTTTGAGTAAGTTAGCGTCTTTAAATATCGAAATATCGAAGTTTCAAGCATTTCTGAAATTTACAGTTATATGAAAAGTGGGCGTAATTTTAGTCCGATTTCCATAATTTCACAGGCCGACAAAAATGGGAAACAATTTTGATAGACTTTTTCATGCTGATTACGAATCCGTAATTAAAAAGTTTCCATCACGTCCAGATTTTGAGAAAAACGTGGTCAAAGTACCAAAAAATCCCGATTTTTGCAATATTTGAGAAGCTCTAGCAAAAAACAAAAAGGCGATAGAACCTTACACTTCAGCTTAAATTAAAGCTAGCACTCTCGACTACTATCCCTGAGAATACCATTCGTGCACCTTGACTTGATAATCACTGATAGTCATTTATTGACCAATAAGAAAATACTGGAGTATTGTACTATTGAAAGAAAGAAAATTTTGCTATAAGTGACTATAAGTCAAGGTGCCCGAATGGTATTTTAAGGGATAGTAGTCGAGAGTTCTAGCTACGGTTGCCAGACGTACTGATTTTATCAGTACAGTACTGATTTTTCAACTCTTGTACTGATTTTATTCATTTCTTCAATCAGTACGCTAATGTCCTGATTTTTCAAAATTTTTACTGATTTGTACTGAATTTTCAATTCAAACAGAATACTTTAGGATGTTCTTAAGGTTTTTACATAACGTTGGAACTTCCTTAAGCTGTACTGTAAAATAATTTAATTATAGTCGACAAAATTAATGCAAATAGATCAAACGTTATATGGGCATATCGCCAGTTGAGATAATATGATGGAGCTTAAATTATTTGAAAAGGCTGACGTTTTTTTGTCGAGTGTTGTTAGTTATCTCGAAAATAGCTTTCAGTTCAATAACAACAAATTTGAATATTCGAATGGCTTTTGCCTATAACTTACAATATCTTTTTCACAATTTACTGACATTGTAAACGAGTTTTGCATACAAGACATAGGTAGGGGATTTCCTTAAACTCGTAAAGTCTCGAACTGCGTAAAACTAGTAAGTTTACGAGGCTTTTATGGGAACGCCCCTTTGTGAAAAGGTGCGTAAACTGACTGTTTGACAGATTTGTAAAGCAGTTTTTGTTTCGTAGTACATATTTTCCATTACATCCTGCCATCTTGTCTCTATCACTCTTAGCTAAAATGCAATTAAAAATGCCGAAAATTGGCAGAAAACCTAAGTTAATACAGTTAGTGGCTAAAATTCATTCATTTTATTTGCTTATTATTTTTTTCATTATTTTATCTTACATTTTAGCATAAAAATTTCGACCCCTCGGCAACACTGAAGTTTACGAGGTCCTTTGCGCATCTAATTTGCCTCGTAATTTTACGAGGGGCTCGTAAATGGAGCTCCGTACAATTTTGTCAGTTTTTTTACGAGGCTCGTAAATTTACAAGCTTTACGAGGTTTGCGAGGCTTTTACGAGTTTAAGGGAAGACCCCTAGAGTTAGATACTCTTTTCAGCGAATTTTTAGTCTTTAAAAGTTTTTGCGTAGTTGAAAAAATTAATTTAAGCCACGAGGAAATATATGTAGATGAAATCCTTGAATAGTGGTACCTGCACCGTCTGAAAACATATGGGGTATTCCATCGTCACGGGTGGGACATTTGTACAGCAAAAATAGTTTTTCTTTTTTAATTTAAGTATAAAGTACTAAGCAATTCTACATTTTGATAAAGCTACACCTAGTTCACTAATATACGAGTTATTACCAAATACGAAAAATATTCCAACTTGATTTTATATTGGAAAATTCTGAGCTGTTTCTTCCGTCACGGGTAGGACAAAGAAAAGACACTGCTTTTTGGAGAACATATATTTTAAGGAAAGTCTGTGAATTTACTTAACATTTCTATCTGGATTAGATGTTTTACTATACAGAAAAGAACCAGCAATCCCAAAAAAGCACAAACCATAATAAGAATTATTTGTTTATTATTAAAAAATTCAAAATTCTCCTGTCACGGGTGGGACAACTTTTGTCACGGGTGGGACACGTACGATTTTCTTCATGAAAGGAAGCTTCTAGTGAGATCCATATCAAAGAGATTAGGTATGATAAATGTTAGAGGTCAAATACAAGATCAATTGACCTACTTTTATGACAGTGGAGTCATTGTAAGACGCACGATATACTGCTGACCCCAGGATCTATTTTAGGGGCAATAGTTATACCAAACGAAAGCTAGAAGTCGCCAGATTGATGTATTAAAATGCATGGAAGAAAGGATTATTTGCAAACGCATGAAATTTTATATGCATTTTCCTAATGCACTTCTGCACGGTGCATTTGATTGCAACGAAATTTCGAATGTGCCTTAATGATTTTCAAGTTTGTTTAGAATAGCTATGTATGTCTGACTAATACTAACTACAGGCTAAACATGTATATCGACTACTGTTATCACGTCGATAGAGATGTCTAACCTGCTGTTAGTGTTGACCAGACATTGAGTAACCGGCTTAAGAGTGGCTCGAGTTGAGTTATTTTTGGAAACTGATTTCATGGACAAATCATGCTCAAATTTAGCTATTCCTTAAAACCATAGAACGTCAGAAAAGATCTTGTGTATCGATGTCTAATCCGAAAAGTTATCTGCATTAGAATACTTGTAAGCAGATACATATGTATATCTTTGTCACTTAAAGGCTATTTATTGGATTGAATTTATAAGTTTCGCGAACTTCTAGATTTTCTTGGTTGGAACTTTTCAGGTAATTGTTAATATTGACTTTTAATTGTTGTTAAGCAACCCTCATCATAGAATTCTCTGGCGTCTCTAAGATAGTAATGCTTATCTTGACTTTTCGAGCTGGCCACGCGAAATTTTTTACTACATCGCTTAGCCCACCAACAGTATTATGGTGTTTAGTCAACCTGTACTTCAGAGTTTTGTGGCATTAAACATAGGTTTGAAACGTTAAACTTATTTTTTTATTGTTAGGCATCATTAGAAAAAAATTATAAATGATTGTCACGGGCGGGACACGATAAAACGTTTCAAAATCTCTTAAGTAGGTACTTATAATATAATAAAAGAAATGAAATAGGGCTGCTTATTATAAACACACTCTAGTTATGAAATTATAGAAAACTCCCTAAAGTAGTAACTAAGCAATACGAAGTTTAAAACTTTTTAGTCACGGGTTGGACATGCTAAACCGTAGTGATTTTATCCTATTATATAATTTAAATGCCTATTTTTCTTCAATGCCATATTGCTTCTTCGGGGCGCAGAAAGATCGAGACATTTATTCCCCCCTTCAAAAAAATAATAACTTTGTGAATACTTGATTTTGCAGAGCCTTCTATATTAAAATATGTTGTCGTATTCAACTACTTTTCTAATGTTGAAGTTTTGAGTGTATTTACAGTGTAATAAAATAATATAACTAAATTTTTTTTCGAAAAAACGTTAATTTCAGGTATTGAGCATTGATTCATCAAGCATTCCATGTTCAATAAGCTACTCTACAATTGGACACAAAGTTTCACTTACTCATGGAATACCCCATATGTAATTTTTTTTTTTAATACCACACTCAAACGAAGCAACCGAGAGTATAAAGTTTGCTTCCTGGCGCAAAGAGAGAAACCGCGGCTTCTAATTCAAATTTTTTTAAGTGAACTTCAAATTAAAAGTAATTTTAAAAGGAAATGTATAGAATTCTTTTAACACTGAAGATGGAAATGATCTCATTATCACTATTAAAAAATTTCACAAATATAAAATAATTTATTGGCGTCTGTGTACAATGATGTGTACCGTCATGTTAAAATGAATAACACACTTATTTTTTTTATGAACTATATTTTATTTATTTTCCAAAATATTGTTAAAAACAAGTACTCTGGCGTTTGAAAGTATTGCTTGTTACTTACATTCCTTATTTTGCTTTGAACAAAAATGTGCTGAAAAGTACTGATTTTTGTAGCATAAAAAGTCTAACGTACAGATTTCGCGCATAAAAAATTTTACAACCCTAGTTCTAGCTTTAATTTAAGCCGAAGTGTAAGGTTCTAACATCTTTTGATTTTTTGCTAGAGCTTCTCAAATAT